CGTCGCTGTACCCTCCTTATTCGTCCGAGTCCGATCGATAGCATGAATCGGTACTATGACTCGGTGAGGGTCGGTGGGGTTGGGCGAGCAGGCAGTCTCGTCAGTAGTTGGCCCGATTCCTACTGACTGCTGGCGTTTCCCTGCCTTAGAGACTCCTTCCCCTGCTCTGCTCCGCGGTGCCTCAGCTCCTCTGGGCATTCACTCTTGCGATGACCCGTCCTATTGCAACCAAAGCAGCGCCCTTAAATGGCGCAGCAACTACATTCGTCGCAACGGCGTGTACAGTTGCGTGCTCGATCGGTCCCCGAGGACGATGTCCGTAGTAGGACCCCGGTCTCGGACGGCGCAAAATGTCGATTTTCTCGGCGAGCGAGAGAATCTCATTGAATTTCGAGAGCCCGCATAGCATGATCTCGTGCGAGATGTCCGGCTTCAGCCCTCCAACGTAACGGTCCACCCGCTCCGCTTCGTGCAAGTAGCCGACTTGCTCGCATAATGCGAGAAAACTATTCGTGTAGTCTTGAACCGACCCGAGCTGCCGCCTAGTACGCAGTCTCTGACGCGCCGAAATAGAAGCCCGCGATCGGCTCGAAGTGCGCCTGAAGCCCTGCGCACCACGCATCCCACGTTTTGTATTGTGCGGTTTCGCAGAATGAACTCCAAGTGACAGCTGGACCCGTGGACCCTTCCTCTTGTGACGGTGGCTCGTAGGCGCGTGGCGATGTCACGATGACTCGCCACCAGTCCATGGCGGGGCCCCTCAGCAGCGAGACGGCATATCGGATCTTCGCTGCGTCCGACTCGACGCAATTCGCGTCGAAGAAGACGTTCATCGTGAAGACCCACGATTGAACCGTCGGACCTCCACGCAGGCTTGGGTTGAAGCAGGGCGGGCGTTGCGGCTTGAGTGGCATTAGTGCCATAATGGCCTGGTCGCCACTTGTCGCCGCGAACTCTTCATGCCGACGGGCTTCACAAGGCTCCCGCGGGCTTGGTGCGACCCTGTTTCCCCCCATGCCAGGCATCGGTTGGGCGGCGCCATCACTGGTTGCACATGAGCGCTGTCCCACGCTGTCGTGTTGTGTTGGTGTGCCGGACGAAATGACGATCGGCTCGTCCGATTGTGCAGATGCATTTGTCGGTGCGTGTGGTGGCGCTGGAGTATTCACCGTGGATTACATCGATTCTTCAACGTGGCCCACCAGACGGTCAAGTTGCTCCTGCGTCAACGTCGGGAGCGTGAATTCGGCCATGGCGGGGGGGGGGGCAAGCAAGCTCAGCGAGAGCCTCTGTCGTAGCCGTGTGTGCTTACGAGAGAGCACTACGAGTGGCGGTGCTGTGTTGCTGAGAGACGTCTATCCCCCCCCCCCCCCCCCCCCCCCCCCCCCCCCCGAAAGTTTGAGATAGTGAGGAAGCGAAGGTGTGGGTGCGGTCCGAGAAGAGATCGTAGGCTCTGAATACCAAGTGTTACAAGTGCATTAGAGTGAGCGAGCGAGAATTGCACTATCGAAGCAAGGGTACAATGAGCGAAGGCATGAGTGAAGAATGTATAGCGAAACTACAGTGGTAATGGTAATGGACTGTAGTTGTCGCGCGACGGGCGTGGGACTGAGGTTTGGGAAAATGTTGAAGCGGAGGCCCAAAGCGTGGGTTACTCGTCGAGCCGTGAGGTCGGGGTGCGACATGCGAAAGTGGTGGGAGGATTGTCGATGCGAGGGTTTGCGAGTGGTAACGGTGCTGACTGTGGTGCTACAGTGGTGTACGCGCTGAGCGTGGACGTGAAGTAAGGAAAAGGAATTTTTTTCCTTACAGTTATGGAACTTTTCACTTCCATATTCGTTACACTCAGTGATTTTTGCTTCGCTGAAAACGTACACTATACTGTAAGCTTGATATCAATTGAAGTTTCATGTTTGACGTCTTGACACATGCCCACGTTCGAAGGAGATTTTTTTGTTTGCGCGTGCCAGTTTCCTCAGTCTTCGATGGTACGGCAAGGGCCAGCGCGTTAGATACTGTGGCGTCACTGGCGCGTGAGAGAAAGTTGCCGAGGGCATTTCTTGCGTGTACAGGTTTGTCTTACTGTGTGACGTGGCTCCCCTCTAAACTGGGAGTGAAGCACTCGTCCTAGTCAGACTATTGGCAGAAGCCGTGGCATGATATCTTGGTTAGGCTCGGTGTCAAAGGTGGCGTACGTTTGGGAGAACACTGAGAATATTGCTCTCGGACCGCGCGTGAGACGAGGGAGGGAGGGAGTGAGGGGCATACTACGACGTTGCTCGTCATCATTGCATCCCAAGGTGCACTGCATGAGCTGGCCCCCGAACCAGGAGATGTTTCTCTTGATATGTTTTTTGCCTTGGACCACGAGGTTCGTCAAGCAGAAGTAGCCAATGTAGGAGTGACAACTAAGGCGCCCGCACATGGCGACGAAATTGGAAAAGTTTCATGTCTGACGGTCCTTTCTAGCATTATCCGCGCTGGCACAAGGAATCGTCCTAGTGGCAGGCGCTCGGCGTGTGTATGCCGAAACACACTGCTCCAGGTAGGGCAGCTCCTGATCGTCCAATGGCCGGAATCACCAGAGATTAGTTATGAGCGGCCATTGGACTCCGCCCGTAGAGAAGGCCGGGCAGCTCGGATAAACTTTTGTGAGAAGAGTTCAATGTCCTGCTGGCGCTGTTTGGGCAGTCCCTGATTCGAGGACTTCGAGACGGAATCAAGCCGAGCTCAGCAGCCCCTCGTTCTGTAGAAGGCCAATGGAAGGCTTCACATTCAAAAGCTCACAATCAGACACACGTACAATTGCTGGAGCGAACTTCCTCGTTCCATTGATTTCCCATTTAGTGGCTCTGTTCTAATCTGAGAAATTCCAGGATTTAGTCAACGACAAGCTCGAAGAATATTGTCTTGTCGCCAGAACAGCTGAATTGCCTTCAAGAGGTTTGGTACATTGAGTCGAGCGAAATTGCTTCGTAGTTCCAGCTTTAGAGCCATGGCTGCACGAAGAGCGCTGATTTTCTCCGAGGGTTCTGCAGTTGAGCGTCCTCAGTGGCTTGATTGTCTACTGAAGGGGGATTTCTTCTCTTCTTGCACGCAACACGTGTCGCTGAAGAAGAACGAGATGAATTTGTTCTGCCTGGACTGCATGGAGGAGCTTTGCCAGCATTGCATGCCAAGCCATCAGTCTCATAAAACGCTCCAGGTATGCCCGTTCCTCCAATTTCCGCATTTGAAAAGCTGCGTTTTCATGTCTCACGGGAAATTCAAGCGGATTGCGAAATTTGGAGAGGGCTTGGGTCCATTGGATACATTGAGAGTCCAATTGACCTTATCACAAACAAGCCGACTCAAAGAAATTCCCTTTCTCCTTCGTCCAGATTCGAAGATACGTGTATCACGACGTCGTTCGGCTTCAGGACATCACGAAGCTGGTGGACTGTAGCGGAGTTCAGGTGCGGGAATTTTTTTTGGACTTTCCAAATGATAATTCCTTTCATTGTAATTCTTGCCATAACCAGGATTCTTCCCTTTCTATTTACAGGCCTACATTGTCAATGGCTCAAGAGTGGTGTTCTTGAACCAACGGCCTCAGCCTCGACCGACCAAGACGACCAATTCATGCCTGACATGCTCTCGAATGCTTCAAGACGAATTCAGTTACTGCTGTTTGGGTTGCAAGGTACGTCTTTGACTCAAAGAACTCGCCGTTCAGAACGGCGTCGCAATTGTCAATTCCAGTCATGCGGTCAAAGTCGAATCTTAAATTTGGTTCAATTCTCATCAATTGTGCTTATTCGTCGCAGGTAGAGGCTCTTGAACGCCTGAACGCGCCGTCGTCAGAACCGATAAAGAGGATGGCGACGAATCAATTATTGACCAGCCTAGCCACCTCAGATAGCGGGTCGTATTCTTCTCAGGATGAGCTGTCGCCTATGAAGCACGACGACTCGCGAAATTTCGCCTACTCTGATAGTGGTTCGTCCTTCGAGGAAAAGGAGACGACGTCCCATGATTACGACTACTCCTCCGTGCCTAAACGTTCGCGAAACTCGCGATCGTCGTGGAGCTCCTCGCCACGGTCTGTCCTTCCTAGCTCGAACAGGAGAAAAAGTACACCACAAAGATCTCCAGCCTATTGACGGACATCGCCAGCTCATTGACGGACACCGCCCCTAATCTGACGGATGACGCCCATGATTGACGGAAGTCTGCGTCAGCAGATAGACGCTGTCACCCTCTCTAAACAGATACCAGTATTTATCAAGCCTCGCATGAAACCGAGGAGATCCGTGGCTACCACCCCCACTTTACTGCCAACCAGCTTCTTACCACCCAACTTCAACCATGCTGGTATTTATTCACATTTGCTCTATCCAACTGCAGCATCCAGCTACACCATCCAGCTGCACGATCCAGCTGCACCATCCAGCTGCACCATCCGTCCCTTCTCCATCCTGTACATCCGCCAGCCTACTCATAATGGTTCGGGGTATCACGTCCGTCTCGTGGTGTCTTCAACGCAAATTGAAGACCTCCTGGCGTACTGCTGTTGCTCAGCGGTTAGCCAGGATATTACTTTGCTGTCCGTGGGGGGATTCTGGGTTAAAAGTATCCTCTTTGTTGTATTCTTTAACCGGAAATAAATCTATTCTCAAGGTTTGTGCTGTTGATCAGCGTTTGATCGGGATACGGTACCGGTGCTTCTGCAATTCATCCTGGAAGTTTGGTGGCTCTGTTCTCTCCGCTCTGTTGTACACTCGTTGGAGTCAACTCTCGTTTGCCAACATCTGGAATGGATACGCTGAGTTGTGTACTCCATTTCTGTTGTACTACCATTGGGGGTTAGTTACGGTACCTGGAAAAAAAGGAATGACTGGTTAGAGCTTTCTGGACAATCTAGATGTAGGGGTGAAGCTGAAAGAAAACGGAGAACTTTGGTGGAAACCATGCTCAAATCCAGTGCCCTGGAATGCCCGACACAGCTGCGCACATGGGTGCTATATGAGGTGCACAATGCCGCTTGCAACCATGACTCGGTTATTGACCTCCATTTGCTGCATGGTGATACGACACAAGGAAAGGAAGATTAGCTTCAAAAGTTCCTCAACAAACATCAACTCACTTGTGCAGAAACAATTCATACCTCAACCCTCTTGTGAACTCACTTCACCCCAGAGTGACTAAACTCAGCATACAATATCATCATCACCTCACTCACCAGAGTCTGGACTCGGACCCAAATCTCTCCCCCCCCATCTCACCCCTATCTCCCCACCACCTCACCTCCAGCATGGCATCGATTTCAGCCCAGGTGAAGCTCTTCCCCGGCCATCGCTTGTTCACCACCTCTGCCAGTTCGTCCACTGCTATCGATTCGACCCGCGCTGCCACCGCGTGCTCACTGAACGCCAGCTGGAAGGCGTCGAATCTGGGGTTTATCAATGCACGGGGAGAGGAGAAGGAAAACTCGTTGATGTGACCATGACATTCCACCCAACTCCGTCACCCGTGCTGCCACCACATGCTCACTGAACGCCAGCTGGAAGGCATCAAATCTACAATTTGGATGCAGAAAAAAAAAAGAGCAAAATGAACACAGTAAAAACGAGAAAGAGAGGAAACACACACACACACACACACACACACACACACACACACACACACACACACACACACACACACACACACACACACACACACACACACACACACACACACACACACACACACACACACACACCCAAATGTTTTTCAGGAGAGGACGTCTCGACAACGGCACGTCGAACCGAAACAACGAGAAAGGAGCAACTGCTTTTGCCGTGAATAAGAAAGACAGAGAAAAGACAGAGAAAGGGCAGAACGTTCCACTGAACGTTCAGCACTGAACTTTCAGCACTGAACAATTCATCTGCAGCAGAAGCTGGTGAAGGTTCACCTAGGGCGGTGATAGTGTGAGGGAGTGACGGAGAAAGGAACAGAAACCCCACCTTTCAGCAGTAAATGCCCCATCGGCAGCAGAAGCAGGTGCCGGATCACCCAGGCTGTGGGGAGAGGGATATGGAAAGAAGTTCAGGGTTACGGATAGAAAGAAGGCGATTGGAAAAAAAACCCGGCAAACCAATTGTTGAAAATCAAGAAATCAAAGGCTGTGTTTGTGCGGTTGGGTGGTTGGTGCTTGGGGAGGAGCGACATCACGAAGTGACTTTTGATTCGACTCAAAAGTCAAATTGTTTGTGCGGTTGGGTGGTTGTTGCTTGGGGAGGAGCAACATCACGAAAGGTGAGCAAGAATAACGTTTGTAAGGGGGCAGCAGTAAGATGACGTAAGGCTTCTCAACACCGTTGCCCTCCACACCCTCTTCCCTGCCTTGATTTCCATCCCACCCACATAAACACCGACAAATAAGGAAGGAAGGGAAGACGGAACGTACTGTGGAACCCCAGCCGCAGGTGCTTCCTCCATCTCAATCTCCTCCACCTCCTCTTCCTCCTCTTCCTCCTCCTCCGCATATTCTTCCTCTTCCTCCTCGCTCCCTTCCGCCTGTGAATCCCTGCGTTGCCTCTTCCCACGGGACCTGCAGGAACAAGTGGGTACATCCAAAGGGAAGGGGGGAAGGGGGACAGATTGCAAAAGCAAGACGACTTGCGGGCGGGCGCTAAATACCGCCTGCATTTGTCGCTGGCTCAGGAGGAGTCTCCTCGCCCCCTTTCTTTTGAGTTGACTCAAAAGTCAACTTGCGGGCGCTGATACAACCTGGTGTTATCGTTGACTGAGGACTCTTTTAAGGCGCCTCAAAAAGATGCGATACACCCTAATATTGTCGCTGACTCAGAAGGAGTCTCCTCGCCCCCTTTCTTTTGAGTCGACTCGAAAGTCCCTCGCGGGCGCCGATAGAGCCTGGTTCCTTTCCTTGAATCAGGAGTCTCCTCGCCCCCTTTCGCCTCTGAATCCATGCCAAGGCACCTTTTCCTTTCCTCCCAGCTTTCGTTCGCATTTTTATTAAACAGTGGTTCAGAAATGATGATATACACTCCACGTCCCATTCACTTCGCCCTTCCTGCCAGCCACACAAGAGCTACGCACCTTGTCTTGCGCCCGCCTCGTCGCCTTGTCCGTCCCCCAGCTGATGCTGCTGCGGTTCCGCCCACACTATCAGCAGCACCAGCACCATCAGCAGCCCCATCGGCAGCACCATCAGCAGAAGCAGTTGCGGCAGCAGCGGCGGCGGCGGCGGCGGCAGCAGCAGCCTCTTTCCTTTGCTGCTCCACGCGTTGCCTCTCCTCCTCCATCCGCTTGTCCGTCTCATCCAGCTCGCGATGGTACAGAGCAAAGTCCAGCAGGCTCAACGCCGCTGCCACGTCTGATTCCAACACCTGGAGGGGAGAAGTTGGGGAGGAATAGGGATCCGAACATCTGATTCCATTCGTTGCCTCTCCTCCTCCATCCGCTTGTCCGTCTCATCCAGCTCGCGATGGTACAGAGCAAAGTCCAGCAGGCTTAGTGCCGCTGCTACATTCGACTCCAGAACCTGGGGGGGGAGGTTGGGGAGGAAAGCGCCATTGTTGGATGAGAGCCCCTGGCATTGCTCCTCCGCCACCCGCTTGTCCGTCTCATCCAGCTCGCGAAGATACAGAGCAGAGTCAAGGAGACACAACGCCGCTGCCATCCATGTCTGATTCCATTAGCTGGAGAGACAAATCCCATAGGTCGTGTAATGGAATCACTTTTGAGAATTCTCAAAAGTGATCTCAAACGAGAATTCTCAAAAGTGATCTCAAACGAGAATTCTCATAAGTGATTTCAATATGGTCGTGTAATGGAATCAGACATGGATGGCAGCGTTTAGCCACGCCGCTGCCATCCATGTCTGATTCCATTACCTGGAGAGGGCACAGGACAGCTCGTGCGTTTAGGACAACGAGACGAATCCCATAGGTCGTGTAAGCTGAAGGAGCCTGGATAGGTGCAAGCTTTAGCGTTTCTTGGCGAGCCAGCTTGAACGATTTTTCCTAAACAGAAAACAGATCGACTCGTCGAAGATAGTTTCGGTTCTTGCAAAGCTTCATGTGTACCTGCCTTGCTGAAGTCCGTTTTGAGAAGTGGACCCAGAATTTTTCCTTCCCACCTAGCAACCACGCTCACCTGCCTGTCTTGCTGTCTTGCCGTCTTAACACCCACCTCTCGCCACAGTGCAGTTTAGCACAAGGTTCAAAAATACGGCAATCGTAAATTACGGTCCGTAATTTACGGTTGTAAATTACGGTGGTTTTGGCAAAAATACGGCCGTTTTTTTTGTTGGACTTTTTTTTTCTTGTTTTTTTTTTCAGAAAATTCTAGGCAGCTTACAACGATGGCAGAGAAGCCTACAAGAAACTACACTACACTAGTTAGGCAAATCTGCACCTATTCTATTCCCTCCTCTTCCTCCAATCCTACTCCTCCAACTCCTTCTACTCCTCCGGCACTCCACCTCCTATCCTTCCTCCTCCTCCGCCTCCTCCTCCTCCTCCTCATCCTCCTCCTCCTCATCCTCCTCCTCCTCGTCGTCCTCCTCCTCCTCGTCGTCCTCCTCCTCCTCGTCGTCCTCCTCCTCGTCATCCTCCGCCTCCTCCTCCTCCACATGCTTCTTTCCTCTCCCCTTCCGCTTGCATGGCCCCTTTCCCTTCTGCTTCTTCTTCCTCTTGGAGCTCTCTCCCGCGCGCTTCTTCTTCTTCTTACCAATGCTCCCAAAGACGCTCCAGTCGATGGTGCACTCCTGCACCTCGGCTCCCTCCTCCTCAGCCCCATCATCAACCGCCTCCACTGGTGCGGGCGGGAGAACGGCAATGCCCTCTTTGAGGGTTCCGTCGGTGAGATCGGCGTACAACTTCGCACGCGCCTGCGTTTTGCGATCAAACGCATCGCGGGCCCTCCTCGTGAAGGCCACGAAGGTGACATCAGTCATCTTCTTGGCCGCGATGCGGTTCCGGTCGCGCCTCTGCACTCGTGCAAGGGCGGACCAGTACCGCTCCACCTCTGACGAGGTGACTGGCTGTGAAAGGGACGTCACAGCCAGCTCCTGGAGCGCTTGCACTTCCCCTCCAAAAATGCACCACCACTCCGCATCCGTCATGTGTCCCCCCGCCACCAAAATCCTGGCTGCCCATAGCGCGTCATCCGACCCGAGGCGGCCCTCCCCCTTGTGAAACTGCACCAGCTGTGTCTGCAGCTTGATGCGCTGGGCAACATCCCCCACCCGGGCATCAATCACCTCGTTGGCCCCCTTCCTCACCTCCGCATCCGTTCTCACCTCCCCCGCATATTGGTTGCGGGGATTAAGAAGCCATCCGAGGGCATGCAGGGAGTTGTGGAGTTGCCCGTCCCAACGCTTGGCAAGGATGCCCTTGATGGATGTGATGAAGGAGCTCTTGTCCTTGGCCAAGAGCAGACCCGTCTTCTTGACGAACACCGCCGCTGCTCACGGTGAGAATGGAGGTGGTTTTCGTTAATGTAGGGATTGGCATGCGCGGCATGATCTCGCATCACAGTTTTGGATCAAGGAGTAGGAAAACCAATAAATAGCCTTGCACTTACCGGCGGCCTCTGCAGCTACCCGAGTCTTGACCGTGATGTCAATCATAAGGCCATAGATTTGGCCCATGATTTGCGCCCGCGTGTCAACCATCCTTAGCACTTCATAAACCGGCGTGAGGAGGCCGAGCACCGCAGACACGCAGTCCCAAAATACGTCGTCGAGAAGAAGCGTCCGCACCTCCTGCCCTTCGGTCTTCTGCGCCACCGCCACCCCTTTCCATTCATCGCTGATGACCATCTCCTGGAGCGCCTTCTTCACCTCCAAGAATCGGCGTAGCATGATGACTTGCGTGCCGAAACGTGTCGCACCCGGCCGCACCAACGAAAGCTTGGTAAAAAGCTCGCGGAATAGAACGACGGCCGAGGCGCTGCCCTTGATCATCATGACGACCCGATGAACTTGCTCCAAGACGAGTTTGATGGGCTTGACTTTCCCAAAGTCGTGAAGCATAAGATCCAAGCAGTGGGCGGCGCAATTGGTGAAGAAAATCCCGGGAAACTCCACCTTAAGCTTCTCAGCCGCAGATCGGTTGTTAGAGGCGTTGTCCATAATGACCTGGACCACGAGATCTTTCCCCACTTCGGAGATGGACTTGCCGATGAGACCCGCGAGGTAATCCCCCGTTTTCTTCGCGGTTTTCGAGTCGACGATGTCCACAATGACGGGCGCAGTGTCGTTGAGGGCGATGACGCACACCATCGCGCGGGACTTCAAGCACGTCCACCCGTCCACCGAGAGACTGCACCCGGTCGTCTTCCAACTCTCCTTCAACGGCCTCACAAGCTCCTCGGCGTCCGCCCTTAGCTTGTCGAGGAGAGATCCGGACACCTTGTAAGGGGTTGGGAGTGTGTAGGGCTTCGCGTAGACGACAGCCGCGTCAACGAAGGCCTGTAGCGCACGAGACTTGGAGACGTTGAAGGCAAGATCATTTTCAGCCACAACTGCCGCCCACAGGTAGTCCAGACGCGCGCGGGCAACGGAATCCGCCATATCGCGGATGTCCCGCTGCCTAGAACGCCTTGCGGGCGGCATCTCGACCGTTGTGGAGGTGGAGGAGGCACGGTTGGAACTTGACGGTGTGGAAGACCGATCCCTTTCGGCGGCTTCTCGTAGCCGTTTGGCAAATTCGGACGGACACGGCGTCACGTTCTTCTCCTTTGAGCGAGGGGTCCCGTAGATGTGCTCTCGAATACGAGTGGCATTTGGGGTCACGGTAGCAGGGCAATAGCTGCATGTCGCGGTAACTACGCCGTTAGGAGATGTGACCTTCGTCACGTGCTCCCACACCTCCGAGAACGGTCTAACCATGGTGGAATACTGCACTTGCTTGACTGCAGCAGTAAAATGCCTACTAAGCTAAGATGTACTTGTCGAGTAGGTTGTTTGCCCTGCTCTTTGTGCCTTGCTAGATTTGGTTGTGTTGCTTTGGCGAAAGGAAAAGGCAGAAGGGGTGGGATGGGATGGGATGGGGATTGGGCTAACGTTATTGGTTAAAATGGTTTCGCAGCGCAAAGTTCGGTTGTGTCGCGCACGCGGGCGAAAAAAACGAAAAGCTCGCGAATCGTCCCACCGACCTGACGAAACGGGTTGACGGGTGACAACGGTTCGCCAAATGTACAGTTTACCGCATCGCGCAAATTTGTATATTTGCGCTTCGGCGAAATTTGCAAACTGACATTTCGTCAAGGCAACAGAGCAGGAATCCGTTCGCCAAAAAACCAAATGTCGCGCCTCGAGAAATACCTGACATGCGCGACTCGGGAAAAAAAACCAACACGTGTGCATTTGGCCGCACAAATGTTTCTGACCCAGGGTGACGGTTGTGAAACGCCGAAATTCGCTATTGCAAACTCGGTATCAAAATTTCGGTCGTAATTTACGACCGTATTTTTGCACCAACATTAAAATACAATGATTTACCGTTTTTTACCGTAATTTACGACCGTAATTTACGATTCCGTAATTTACGGCAAAAAATCAAAAATACGGTCGTATTTTTGAACCTTGGTTTAGCATGTGCCGCGGACAGGCAGATCATGGTCTCGACAAGTTCATTGCTGGAGGCAACTTATAAACACAGGAGGCAACCCACCTCACCAACACCCCCCCCCAGACCCACCTCTCGCCGCAGCTTCAGCTTGGCATGTGCTGTCGACAGGCGGATCATCGTCTCGAGAGAACGGGCCGTTACAGGGAGAGTGCCTTGATCCGACTGGGGGGGTGAAAAGGCAGGGAAGGAGAGAGGAGGGAGGGGCAGTCAGAGACTGCTTCTCAACTGAAGCTAAAAAGCGCTTAGATAAATATGATATCACATGCACGCACGTTTGCACATGCCTCAACACGACCACGCCCTGAAGATAACATCAACCTCCTTTACGCGCCCCGGCGCCCATGCTATGCGCCCATGCTATGCGCCCTCATCCATCCCTCTCTGCATACGCCTGTGCTATCTTCTCGTGAAAGCCCACGTGGTTGAATGCCTCACCATCCTGCTCTTGTCCAAGCCAGCCCTCTACTCACCCGCCTCCTGGCGTCCATGCCATGCGCCCTCACCCCTCCCTGCATGCGCCAGTGTTACCTTCCCTTGAGAACTCGCCTTCACTGCTGCTACGCCATGTTTTCAAGCTCATAGTGGAGTAGCAGCAGTGCCGCGCCCGCGCCCTCATCTTCTCCTCATCTCCACACCGCATATCCCTGTGTGTTATCTTCGATCATCCTCCTCCTCCAGGCATCGCATCGCACACAATGCCCTCAAGAGCGCCTCAAAACGTATTAGAGCTCAACTCACCCTCCTTCTCGCGTCCATGCCTTGCGCCCTCATGTCCGCGTATGCCTGTGCTATCTTCTCTGCTGCCTGCAGTCCAGTAGAGGGGGAACGCGGGGGGCGGGGGGAGAACGAACCGTGGGGGAAAGAGGGACCGTGAGGGGGAGAATGATTGTGCAGCAACAAGCAGAATGAAACAACTATGCCCTGAGCCCTCATATCCGCGTATGCCTGTGCTATCTTCTCTGCTGCCTGCAGTCCAGCAGCACAGGGGGAACGGGGAGGAAAAGCTGGAAAGAAAGAACAAAGGAGCGGGGGTAGGAGAGGAGGGTAAGAGGCGAGGAAGTGATTTTGGCGTGGCGTGAGATGCAAACTCTGCCTGCATTTGAAGACGTCCTATAAAATAGACACCCTGCCTGTGCTCTCTGTCTCTATCCTCTATCCTCTCTGCTGTCCGCAAGCACGGCAAGAGGTATGAGTGGCCGCGAAAGGATTCAGAGCTGACTTTTGAGTCGACTCAAAAGTAGGCACCATGCATGTGCTCTGTCTCTATCCTCTATATTCTCTCCTCTCTGGTATCCGCACGCACGGCAAGAGGTATGAGTGACCGCGAAAAAGATTCAGATTCAAACAGTGCAGCAATGTGACATGAAGAACAGTGGTGCAATGTGACCTGAAAAACAGTGGAGCAATGTGACCTGAAAAACAGTGGTGCAATGTGACCTGAAAAACAGTGGTGCAATGTGACCTGAAAAACTTGCGCAAAACAACTTTACTTTCATGAAGGACCACAAGGGAAGAGTCAAGGGAAATTTTGAGACGGTAAAAACAAAAATAAATTAGGGGAGAGAGGGGGTGCAGTTATGAGACACGAGACACCGTCTCTTACCCGATTTGAGAGCACGGGGGTGCGGCCGCGGGCAAAGTGAAAGAACTTCTTCAGAAACCGCTTCTTAAGTATCTTCCTTATCGGCTCCCCGGCCTTCCTCTCCCCGTGCAGTAAGCGATCGTACTTAACTAAGTTCGCCGCCAAATCAGCTGCACCACTGCTGCCCCCTCCCCTTCCCCCACTCCCACCAGCCCCATCCCCTCCTCCTCTACCCCCACTCCTGGTCCTAGGCCGGCTAGTGGCCGGATTGGCATCATCTTCACCGTCCATTGCAGCAGCGGAAGCATCTGGGTCGACTGCATCTCCCCCCTCTTCTTCCTCATCTTCCTCATCTGCATGTGTTGCGGCCATGGGTATGTCCCCTGGCGCTAGCGCTGCGGGAGGAGAGAGGAGGGGGAGGGATGGCTGGAAGAAAATTAAGGGGCAGCAAAGAAAGTGGGCCGCCCGCGTCCCCCCTCTCTTGCTCCTCCTCGTCCTCCTCATCTGCGTGTGTTGCTGCCATGGGTATATCCCCTGGCGCTAGCGCTGCGGGGAGGGAGTAGGGAGTAGGGTGAAGGAAGAAACTTAGGGTGCAGCCTGGAAAATGGGCCGTCCCAGTCCCCCCTCTTCCTCCTCGTCCTCCTCATCGAGCGTGTGTTGCTGCCAAGGGTACATCCCCTGGGGCTAGCGCTGCGGGGAGGGAGGGAAAGGGGGGAAAATGACTGCCATGAGAAACAAGAACCAGGGCTTGGCACTGGAGCTGAATTTTGAAAACGGCCTGAATTTGAGGCGCCTCAAAAATAGACCATGGCTTGGCATTGGAGTTGAAATTGAAAACGGCCTGCAGCACAAGGACAGAGCAGCAGCAGGAGGAGGGAGAAGTGACTGGACAGCTTGCTGCCGTCGTCGCCCGGGAGGTGGTACTGGTGCATTCGGAGCACGTGATTGGCTATGCTGGCAGTATGAGGCGCTTCCAAGCCAGAAATAAACTAGCTATGAGTAGAGTACCAGCCAAGAGCAGCAGGCAGGGAGGCGCAAGGAGCTTGCTTACTTCCGTCGTCGCCCGGGAGGCGGTAGCGGTGCATGCGGAGCACGTGATTGGCTATGCGGGTGTCCACGTCAGCATCCATCTGATCCACGAGGATGAAGAGCAGATCGAATCGCGACAGCAGCGAGTCCGGCAGGCCGATGTTGCGCATGGGGCTGATGGAGTGGTCGTACTGGTGGGGGGGGAGAGGAGGAGAGAAGGGGGAGCACAGCAGGAGCAGGGAATTGGAAATAGGGAGAAAGGGAGTGGCATGGGCTGTGGGGAGAGCAGCGAGTCGGGCAGGCCGATGTTGCCCATGGGACTGATGGAGTGGTCGTACTGGTGGGGGGGGAGAGGAGGAGAGAAGGGGGAGCACAGCAGGAGCAGGGAATTGGAAATAGGGAGAAAGGGAGTGGCATGGGCTGTGGGGAGAGCAGCGAGTCGGGCAGGCAGATGTTGCCCATGGGACTGATGGAGTGGTCGTACTGGTGGGGGGGGAGAGGAGGAGAGAAGGGGGAGCACAGCAGGAGCAGGGAATTGGAAATAGGGAGAAAGGGAGTGGCATGGGCTGTGGGGAGAGCAGCGAGTCGGGCAGGCCGATGTTGCCCATGGGACTGATGGAGTGGTCGTACTGGTGGGGGGGGAGAGGAGGAGAGAAGGGGGAGCACAGCAGGAGCAGGGAATTGGAAATAGGGAGAAAGGGAGTGGCATGGGCTGTGGGGAGAGCAGCGAGTCGGGCAGGCCGATGTTGCGCAAGGGGCTGATGGAGTGATCGTACTGGGGAAAAGGAGGGAGGGGGAGGGGGAGGAAGAGGGCGAGGGGAGTTGAGTAGCGACCGAGCAGTTATACTGTATAGTAGAACATGGGAGAAGTGGGGTTGACTGATAGTGGGGAGAAGTGGGGTTGACTGATAGTCAGTATTAAAGCCATCATGTAAACACTGCACTAGGACACGAGCATCACTCACGGATCCGTAGATGGGATTTGCAGCAGCAACAACGCTGCAGCGAGCGTTGAGGGAAGCATGGATCCCTGCTTTGGCGATTGTCACTGTCTGCTGCTCCATCACCTGGCGGAGAGAAAGAAAGAAAGGCATGTGTGTGTGTGTGTGAGTGAGAAGGTTACTGAGCAAGTGAACGGGCGAGTGAGTGAGCAAGTAACTGACTGAGAAATACGTGAAAATAATGAGTTTCACAGTTTGGATCCAACAACCTTCCCAAACCCCATGCTAAGTCATTCCGCACGATGCCATGCCACGCCATGCCATGACACGCCATGCCTTGCCTCGCCATGCCATATCAAGCCATGCCGTGCCACCCATCGCACGCACCTCATGGATAGCAACACGGTCGGCATCGCTCATCTTGTCAAACTCATCGATGCACACCACGCCCCTGTCTGCCAGAACCATGGCTCCTGCTTCCAGCCTCCTCTCGCCTGCAGATCAGAGGAAGAGAGAAGAGTGAAAGGAGCAGGAAGATAAGAAAGCCACACTAAGGGCTTAGCAGCGCTCGACTCATGGATCAATGCACACCAGTCCTCCGTCCGCCAGCAGCATGGCTCCTGCCTCCAGCCTCCTCTCGCCTGGAGAGGCGTCAAGGGAAGGGAGAGAGGCGACAGAGAGTAAAAGGCGACAGACACTCGATGCAGCTGCGACTTGAGAGGCACGACCTCTCTCCAATGCAAAGCTAAACTCACCTGTCCCTCTCCTGCTCACACCAACCCCACCTGCTCCGGTCACACCAAGCCCACCCGTCTCTTGGTCGGTGGTGACAGCAGCAGTCAGCCCCACTCCCGAAGAGCCCCTCCCATTGGTGGAGATGGCGAGGGGGGCGGCATGCATGATGGCTCGAAGAAACTGCGACTTGGCGACTGAAGGGTCGCCCACCATGAGCATGTTGACGTCTCTGCAGGGGGGGTGAGTGAACACAGGCGGGGGGGAGGGGGGCATGGCAGCAGTTGGCAGGTGCGACTTGGCGACTGAAGGATCGCCCACCATGAGCATGTTGATGTCGCTGTGAGAGGGGAAGAGGGAGGGGGGAAGGGGAGGGGGTGTTGGGTCTATGTGCAAGCAAGGCCACACCGAGCAGATGCGACTTGGCGACCGAGGGATCATTGATGAGCATGTTGATGTCGCTGTGAGGGGGAGAGGTGTGTGTATGCGGAGAGGTGGGTGTATGCGGAGAGGTGTGTGTATGCGGAGAGGTGTGTGTATGCGGAGAGGTGTGTGTATGCGGAGAGGTGTGTGTATGCGGAGAGGTGTGTGTATGCGGAGAGGTGTGTGTACGGGGAAACACGGGTAAAGTTGGAAGAGCCGTGTAACAACACATGACATCTGTAATATCTTGCTTATTCAATGAAGGCCCTCTCGCCACATATTTTATCTCCTCTACACCAGCACCATCCCACACCAGCACCATCCCACACCAGCACCATCCCACACCAGCACCATCCCACACCAGCACCATCCCACACCAGCACCATCCCACACCAGCACCATCCCACACCAGCACCATCCCACACCAGCAACTCAACCGCCCTCAAGGTATACACAAGACACAAAACGCCACTCACTCACCCTCTTATGTGGGTCCCATTAGGCAGGTTCTTCTCAACCCCCCCCAGCAGCAGCAGCAGCGCCAGGGCCTTCTTGACCCACGCGTGCCCACAGATGGATGGCGCCAGCGTCTCCCCCACCACCCCCCACGCACCCTTGCGCCCACACCACCACAACCCACACCCCAACTCAAACAGCCACCGCCCAAGGTGCATTCCAGTACCAAACTCACCCTCTTATGTGGGTCCCGTTAGGCAAGTTCTTCTCGACTCCTCCCAGCAGCAGCAGCGCCAAGGCCTTCTTGACCCACGCGTGCCCACAGATGGATGGCGCCAGCGTCTCCCCCACCACCCCCGACGCACCCTTGCGCCCACACCACCACAACCCACACCCCAACTCAAACAGCCACCGCCCAAGGTGCATTCCAGTACCAAACTCACCCTCTTATGTGGGTCCCGTTAGGCAAGTTCTTCTCGACTCCTCCCAGCAGCAGCAGCGCCAAGGCCTTCTTGACCCACGCATGCCCACAGATGGATGGCGCCAGCGACTCCCCCACCACTCCCCACGCGTCTGCCCGTGCTGCCAGCGCCCTCACTGCCCTCACGTCTGCTGCTGTCATTCGCGGCGCCACTGCATCCTTGCTCAGCTGCATCACATTGCATGCCACAAGAACGGTTCTGGAAGGGTAGTGGTGGGCACGGGGAGGCAGGGAGGGAGGCACGCAGTGAGTGGAGCAAAGCGAGAAACTCGCCCACCACCCCCCACGCGTCTACCCGTGCTGCCAGCGCCCTCACTGCCCTGCCCTCACATCTGCTGCTGTCATTTGGGGAGCTACCGCACCTTTACTCAGTTGCATCACATTGCATGCCACCAGCACGGTTCTGGATGGGAGGGACAGGCAGGAAGTGGGGTAATGATAGGCATTTCTCAATCCCCCTCTCCCCTCTTCATGAGCACAGATCGGCAGGAAGTGGGGTAATGATAGGCATTTCTCAATGAGAAAAAAGCCCCACTCCACCCTACTCTACCCACAGCAATCCCCAGGAAACTCCCTCCAGCTCGACTCACCGAAACGTGCCGCTGATGGTGCCAGTGGCGCGCATGGGAGCAGCCTTGTAGATGCCCACTATGGCCACGCGGTCCCCCGGCTTGCATGCATCCACCAGGTCGTCCTCTACCACCACGTCCAGTGACCGCGGCAGCTGCCCTGCACTACCCTGCCCCGCCCTGCCCTGCTGGGACTCTCTCAAAAGGAGAAAAACCCCACTCGACCATACTCTACCCACAGCAACACCCAGTAACCCCCAGAAATCTCACCGAAACGTGCCGCTGATGGTGCCAGTGGCGCGCATGGGAGCGGCCTTGTAGATGCCCACTATGGCCACGCGGTCCCCCGGCTTGCATGCATCCACTAGGTCGTCCTCTAGCAGCACATCCAGTGACCGTGGCAGCTGCCCTGCAGGGGCGTTCTCAGGCATCTCCTGCATCGCCATCGCCTGGTGGTCGCGGTAGCGGCACAGGCCGAACTCTGTGACCAAAATGTTGCCCTTGTCGTCCTGGTGTGGTGTGAGGAGGGGAGGGGGCAGGCAGAATGTGTGATGGCAGCTGCCCTGCGGGGGCGCTCTCAGGCATCTCCTGCATCGCCATGGCTTGGTGGTCGCGGTAGCGGCACAGGCCGAATTCGGTAACGAGGATGTTGCCCTTGTCGTCCTGAAAGACAGGTAGGGATGCAAGGCAAAGGAGAGCTCAGGCATCTCCTGCATCGCCATCGCCTGGTGGTCGCGGTAGCGGCAGAGAACAAACAGGCACATTCTCTCAGGCACATTCTCTCAGGCACAAACGCACGCACTAGAATGTTGCACTTGTCGTCCTGATATGCATGGGCAGGAGGACGTACAGCACAGGTGGCGGACATACCTTGGTGGGGTAGATGGCGGGCGTGGGCAGGCCAGTGAGTGCAGTGACGTCTCGATATTCCCGAGAGGAAAAGGCCCCCGTGTTCGGACAGTAGTGCACACTGCGCACCACCTTGGGTCGCACCGAGGAGCCTGGAGAGGAAGGTGGGGGGGTGCGAGAAGGGTATATTAGTGGCGGGGCAGCAGTTGCAAGGCGGAGGAAAGGCCCCTGTGGCAGGGCAGTAATGCACACTGCGCACCACCTTGCGCCGCACCGAGGAGCCTGCGCGGCAGGAAGGTGGGGGGAGCGGAGGGGGGGTTTGTTGGAGGGAGGGGAATATGAGATGCTATGCTACCATAGTGGCAGGGCAGCAGTGGCAGGGAGGGAGTGGAATATCTCCCTGGCAGGGCAGTAGTGCACACTGCGCACCACGTTGAGGCGAAGATTTCTACAAAACAACCTACAGCAGCGACAGGGGAGCAGCGACAGGGGAGCAGCAACAGGGCAGCAGCGACAGGGCAGCAGCGACAGGGCAGCAGCGACAGGGCAGCAGCGACAGGGCAGCAGCGACAGGGCAACAGGGGCACGTCAGCAGGGGAAGTGGCAGCACAGCACTCAACTCCAGGCCACCGCACACTCACACTTGGTGACAATCCCGTGCACGCAGACGAGCGAGTTGAGGAAGGGCGAGAGCAGCTCGCGGGGGGACACCTGGTGGAACCCAAACGGCCCCTCAAACCCCACGCTCACTTCGCCGCCCCCCACGCCTGTGGCTGCAGACTCGAGCAGGTGCTTGGGGTGCGCCAGCTTCACTGCATCCTCCACTGCGCTCACTAGTGCCGGGTACAGCTCGCCTGGCGTGCGGATGAGCCTGGGAGGGAGGGGTGTTGGAAGACAGGGAAGGGAAGCAGATGCTTGGGGTGTGCCATGCATCGCCCACTGCGCTCACTAGTGCCGGGTACACCTCGCCTGGCGTGCAGATGAGCCTGGGGGAAGTGGGGGGAGGCAGAGGAGAGAAGAGAAGAAGTTGCTTCTACAACATGTATTCACCACTCAAGGATGGATAGTGAATGTGGTGAGATCGAGCAAAATGCAACAACTCTAACCCAAGGATGTTAACCAGGTCCGGCAGACAACCGTACCTGCGGGCGAGGTGCGGATCGAAGGATCGGAGGTCCGAGAGGTCAATGAGGAGGCGGTGCTTGCCCGCGTCCACCATGGCGTTGATTCGCTGCATGTAGCGCGACTTGGGGTTCTGAAGGGAGAAGGAGGGCGGGGATGAAAGAAAAGGAGGAGGAGTTGCAGGGGGGTTGGTGGTGATAAAAGAGATCGAGAAACTTCAAAAGGACAACCCATAAAGCGTAGTGAGACATTTTGTAAGACGAATTTGTACACACTCCGCAACCTCGGACGTACTTGGGGGTCGAGGAACTCCATGAACTGTACTCGCTATGAGACGCCTCATAACATAGTTGTGTTGATGTAAACTATTATCTAGAAGATAACTGTTTCGCACCTCGGGGTCGAGGAACTCCATGAACGTGCGCTTGTGCGCGAGCAGCGACTCCTGGTTTAAATCCGCCATGGCTGCTCAACGGTGCTCAAATCCTCGGCTCAACGCTTTTGCTAGATCAGAACACGCTGTTGAACAGATTGAGTCGTCAAAAAGCGGATAATCTTGCTTCAGTACATGAAACTGAGGGTCTGTGAATAATAACGGGTTTGAACAGTAAGTCTCGACCGGCAATGGCTGCGGCTAGATGGCCAGACTTGCGCGCGCGATTATTCGGTGTCCCTGACAAATAGCAACTAATCTAATCTGCCGTCACCAAAAGACCGCGAACGCTGGACTGCAAGTAGCCATTGGTTTGAATGGAAATGCGCGGGGTAGTCTCGAGATTCACAGCTTCAGATCGACTCGCACTGCAGCCACGCTACAATGTTCTGAAACCCACCAAAACGGGTCCAACCTCGTGCCTGATCGGTAGCACCCTTAAGCGGGGTTAGTGAGCTTCTAGGCAGCTCCGTAAGTCCCGCTTTGCACGTGTGACGGAAGTTTACTCAGTCCGACGTGGATTACTCCGCGTAAGTCAGAATGGGCAAACGTTCGCCCGAACACCCTACTCGGAGTACGACTCGAAGTGACCATTCAGGAAGGTTCCTTCACGGGCAAACTTAGCTCCGCGGCTGAACTCCACTAACCCTGGCTTTTTGTGAGAGTAGCCTCGCTACTCGGATTGAGCCCGCGAAGGGTGAACCCGATAAAACCCCAAGTTTTACTTTTTGTTTTCAGGGAAGCTCTCAAAACCTTCAAAATTTTTCATTTCCCCAACTCCCAGTGGTTCTTGATGTTGTCATTTTCTGGCTAAGTTACCCCTTTGTGGGAATTCGTTTTCTTGGTCACGAGTGGGGCAGTCTGGGCCGAGCGCAACAGTGCGTTGAGGGAAATCGCGCTCACGACCCTCGCAACTTCCCTAAGCGGAGTTTCGAGGGCGTGCCGATCACCCCTCGGAGTCGGGAAACTTACAGGAGGAGAAGGGAAGCACCCACCGACACGTGCCCACATGTGTGTGCCAAGGCGACAGAAGCTTAAAGCAGCAGTATACTTTTGCAAGCAGGGGTTTCAAAAACTATAGAAACTTGAAAAACTGGTTACGCGATTACAGCCCCAACTCCTCCCCGCTTCACAAGCGAAGCGAGTCCCCCAAACGCCCCATGTCCAACTCCCCGCACTCACAGTTCAAAACCTAAGGAATTGCAGAAGGAAACTGAAACTGCAGTAGTGAGAGGATAGCCCACAAGCTCTTACTCTGGTAGCTGATTTCCCGTAAACTGGGCAACGTTCTAACCTAACCGCTGGATTTAGGGACAGAACTATTTATTGAACCGCGTAACGCTGTTCAAGCGCATGCGCAGACAAATTGCCCATTCGTACGCACTCGCTTAGACCACGCCACCAGGGGACAAGGCCGCCCCACGCCTTCTCTCGCTGCCTCACCGCAAGGCCATTAGCGCTAGCGCCTCCCCTCCCCACAGCGTCCCGCTTTGCCTCAACGCGCTAGCATCTGCCATCCCATCCCGTCCTCCACTCCTAGCTCGCCGTCCGCCGTTCACCGCGCGCGGTGAGCCGCTGCTGAACGCCTCGCCGCTCGCGTGCCCTCCCTTTCACGTTCGCCTTCCGTCGTTCGCCTTTCGCCGGACGACGTCCGGAGTGAGTCTCCCCTCGCCGAACCACGCTGCCTCGTTCGTTTCCCCCCCTGCACGCCCTCGTTCCAGAGCACTGAAATCCCCTTTCCGCAACCTCATTTCCGCCCGCAATCCCCATTCCGCCGCCTTACCCATTCCTGCTCCTATCGCCTCCCGGTTCGAATTCTCCTTTCGCCTCCCCGGGCGTGCTCCTCTCGCATCCCCGCGCTCTCCTCTCGCTTTCCCCCCGTGCTTCCTCCTCACGCCTCCCCGCGCGCTCGACTCTCGCCTCCCCGCGCGGCCTCCTCTCGCCTCCACGCGCGGCCTCCTCTCGCCTTGCCGCGCGTTCCCCTCTCGCCTCCCCGCGCCTGCTCCTCTCGCCTCCCGCGCCTGCCCCTCTCGCCTCCCCGCGCGTGCGACTCTCGCCTCCACGCGTTTCCTCCTCTCGCCTTCCCGCGCATGCGCATCTTCCCTGCCTCCCCTCGCTGCCTCTCCGCGTCTCGCGGCGGCCTCCTTTCGCGAGCTGCACTCAAATAAGGCCCTCGGCCCTCTCTCACTCTCTTGCAACGGCTGTGCTTCCGCATCCCCGCTGCACGCCCTCAAAACCCCCCCCTGAACGCCCTCACTGCCCCACATGTACGCCCTCGTTTTCCCTCCCTGCTTGCCCTCGTTTCCCCACCTTGCACGCCCTCATTTTCTCCCTTGTACGCCTTATTTTCCCCCTTTGCACGATCGTATTTCTTCCCCTGATTGCCCTCAATTCTCCCCTGCTTGCCCTCATTTCTCCCCTTTTCCTCCCTCCATGCCTTCTCCTCCTCCCGCCACCCCCTCTCCTCCTCTCACCATAGCTTCTCGTCCTCTCACCATGCCTTCTCCTCCTCCCGCCATGCCTTCTCCTCCTCCTGCCACCCCCTAACCTCCTCCCACCATGCCTTCTCCTCCTCTCGCCATAGCTTCTCGTCCTCTCACCATGCCTTCTCCTCCTCCCGCCACCCCTTCTCCTCCTCCCAACATGCTTTCTCCTCCTCCTGCCACCCCCTCTCCTCCCACCATGCCTCCTCCCCCTCCCGCCGTGCCTTCTCGTCCTCCCGCCACTCCTCCTCCTCCCACGTCTCCGCCCCTGCTTCCCACCATTTCACCTCCTGCTTCTCCTATTTCCCCCCTCTGCTCCTCCTTCTCCATGTTCTCAACTTGCCCACCTCCGCTCTTTTTCGCCTCTGCTTCCCTTCTCCCCCTCCCCTCCTCTTTTCCCTCACTGCTCCTCTTTCCCCACTCCCCTCCTCTTTCCCCACTCCCCTCCTCTTTCCCCACTCCCCTCCTCTTTCCCCACTCCCCTCCTCTTATCCCCCCCTACCCCACTCCACTTCCCCCCTCTGCTCCTCTTGTCCCCCTCTGCTCCTCTTGTCCCCCTCTGCTCCTCTTGTCCCTCTCTGCTCATCTTTCCCGTATTGCACCTCTTTCCACCCACTCCTCCTCTTTTCCCCGTCTGCTCTTGTTTTTCCTCCCTACTCAGTTTTCATCCCCTGCTCTTACCCTCTGCACTTCCCTCTTATTCCTCTCCCTTCCCCACCAGCTCACTCACCCCTTTGACCACCCGTGCTTGGGAAAAAAACACGGATGAGGATTCTGAAGGTCAACCTATGACCGCTAAGAACCATCATTTTCCCCCCCTGCACGCCCTCATTTTCCCTGCCTTCCCATCTCTTTCTTCTCTCTTCCAGGGCCTGTTATACACAACCCGCCCTCTTCAAACTGCTCCTCAAGCGCTGTCCCCATCAGCACCTCTCTACCTTTCGCTCTCTGTGCCTCTTCCCTCCTTTGTCACTGAGCCATGCTTTGTCACTGAGCCATGCTTTGTCACTGAGCCATGCTTTGTCACTGAGCCATGCTTTGTCACTGAGCCATGCTTTGTCACTGAGCCATGCTTTGTCACTGAGCCATGCTTTGTCACTGAGCCATGCTTTGTCACTGAGCCATGCTTTGTCACTGAGCCATGCTTTGTCACTGAGCCATGCTTTGTCACTGAGCCATGCTTTGTCACTGAGCCATGCTTTGTCACTGAGCCATGCTTTGTCACTGAGCCATGCTTTGTCACTGAGCCATGCTTTGTCACTGAGCCATGCTTTGTCACTGAGCCATGCTTTGTCACTGAGCCATGCTTTGTCACTGAGCCATGCTTTGTCACTGAGCCATGCTTTGTCACTGAGCCATGCTTTGTCACTGAGCCATGCTTTGTCACTGAGCCATGCTTTGTCACTGAGCCATGCTTTGTCACTGAGCCATGCTTTGTCACTGAGCCATGCTTTGTCACTGAGCCATGCTTTGTCACTGAGCCATGCTTTGTCACTGAGCCATGCTTTGTCACTGAGCCATGCTTTGTCACTGAGCCATGCTTTGTCACTGAGCCATGCTTTGTCACTGAGCCATGCTTTGTCACTGAGCCATGCTTTGTCACTGAGCCATGCTTTGTCACTGAGCCATGCTTTGTCCTGCTTGTAGCTGCGAGCATCCCCTTACCCCCTCCTTCCTCCAGATCGCCCCATCCCTCTCCGTCGCTCCCAATCTCTCCTTCATGTCTCCCCATATCGTTTTCCTTCCCATCGGCCACGGGATCAGGACGAGTCCCGTCAGCCTTGCACACTCGCCACGCCTCCCCACGCACTCTTCCTGCCATTCTCACTCTCGCAATCCGCACCGCCATCCCTCCCTGCCTTTCCATCACACCTCCCTGCCTTTCCATCACACCTCCCTGCCTTTCCCATGGGTTTGGGGCCCCATTATTTACCACTGTGACACAAGGTGTCATACAACCTGTACCAGGTGGGTATGCATATGCAAAGCTGCCGGTTTTGCGTCCAAGTCAGCACCATATTGGTGTGCCGATTCCCTCTGCTCCAGCTACAAGCACGGCAACGCCTGGCCCAAGCGAGCTTGTCAGTGTGAAGGGAGGGGCGTTATGTTGCAGGAGTGTGCCATGGCAGAAGATGACACCAAGAGTAGACGATAGTGCTGTTTAGTATACTTAGAGATGATTTTCTATGTGTACATACGATACAACCCAAAGCTCCTTTTTGACATCATTGCTGTGCTCATACACAAATGTGGGGTTGGCTTAGTGATAGAGGACAGACACCTGAAATTCAGATCACGTGATTCGTATCGGATGTACGGTATGTGAACATCATTGGCTGTAAAGTTGTGCTGTAACATTCAACTACTTTCAACACACCGTGGGAGCACATGCTAGCCTATGCTGAAGCAAGTAGAGTCTATCTTGTTCCATGCTGCACTCGAGAGCCCTCAATTGGAAAGGGAACGCGGTAAACACGGCACTGGAGCTGAAAAGTGGAAAGAGAGGTAGAAGGGAAGAGGGAGGGTAAGCAAGGGGAGGAGGGAGCATAAGCAGGGAAAAAAGGGAGGACAGAGAATAAGTAAACTCGAAGGAGCCGATTGGGAAAGGAAGGAAAGCCGTGGGGGAAAAGGAGGGAAAATTTGGGGCTAGCATGGGGGGAAACATGGGGCTCACATGGGGGGAAACATAGGGTCAGTAGTAGGGGGGTGACATGGGGACTAAGAGGGCAGAAACATGGGGCAAGCATAGGGAGAAATAGGTTTTATTGCTGCAACAATTTTGATCAGATCCATGGCCTCTGTGATGCTTGTGGTAGAACGTCACTGGCTCCCGCGACGTGCGGATGATGGTTGTCTAGCACGTATGCACGGTGCTCGCGTGTGAGGGGCGTGTCTGGGAACAGCTCCGCCACTCCATGGCTGGCTGGGGAGGGAAACGGAGTGAAAACATGCACTGCATACTTGCAAGTGTAGAACCCACCCATGCACCCACCTAGCAAACATGCATGGGGGCGTGTTTTTTGAGTTGCGTCTTGCCGTCTCAGTTGCCACATTGGCTCGCCTCAGCTGTTCTTCCTGCCTCGGCATCTCGGCAGGTCGTGCCATGTGCGCACTAACACGCGCTGGGTGTGACACTGGCCGGGAGCTGCTTCCGAGAGTGGGAAGGGATGGCGGGAAGGAAGGATGCACAGGGGAGGGGAAGGGGTATGATAGCAGGGCATCATGGAATGAGCACAACATTACAATGTCTGCACAGATGCACATTAGCTGGGTACGAGAGAACTGCAGGACGAGGAGGAAGCACGGGGGTGGGACGGGAAGATAGAAGAACGCAAGGCAGCAACAAACATTAGCTTCTCTCTCATGAGAGGTGAAGCTGGCCCGGACCAGCCCAGCCCAATGCTGAAACCCCGAGCTGCGACTCAGGTCACGCCTGGCCTGGAGTGCCATGCGGTGCTGGCCTGGAGTGCCACGCGGTGCTGGCTAATTGACTTTTGAGTCGACTCAAAAAGTCACCTGGCTAATTGCGGGCCGACAGTTTTAAAGCATCCACTTTCCCACTTCGCCACTCTCCGCCACTTCTTGCCGTAACCACACCCATTTCTCCCCACACCTTTCCCCGACCGGATGAAGCTTGGGCGCACCTCAAAGCCACATCGTGCTGGGGAGCCGATGTTAGAATGGAGGGTCACGGAGGAGCAGGCAGGGAGAAGCTGGGGTGCAATGCAATACCAGGTGGGTCACGCTGTATAGAGCACTCCAGGGTTTAGCTCCTGGTTTAGGGTCAAGTGGCGTGGTGTTAGGTGGTATTAATGAGAGGGATAACGTAAGAAAATACTGGAAAGCGAAGCAGCTCAGCAGAGTGAGGGAAGGGGGTCTGGGAGGCGTGTGTTGGGGGGGGGGGGGGGGGGGGGGTAATGGGGCGGAATATGGGGATCAGGAACTGCAGTCGAATACAGCATGTGAGCCACAACAAAGCAGAGCGATAGAAAACACGGAACACCATACAAACAGATACCACAGATGAAAAAAAAAAAAAAAAAACAAACAACAACTTTCTAATTCAATCCAATATAGCTGGTCAACAACCATACACACCAAGGGAAGGGTGGGAAATAGAGAAGCAGGGGACGAAGCATGGGCTTTCTTCAGGGGTTTATAATGCATACAGGAGCAGTGGTGAGGGGCTCGTTCACGGAACAGGAGAGGGGGGAAACGTGGGAGATGCCCTAGGCTGCGGTGAGGCGGTGGAAGGGAGGGGAGATGATAAAAAGAGGGCCGGAAGAGGGCGGATATGTGAAGAAGCATATGGGAAAGGAGGGGAAGCAGAGGGGAAAATAGGGGGAAGGAGAGGGGGGAACGAGCGAGGGGAAGCAGAGAGAGAAATAAGGGGAAGGAGAGGGTGGAACTAGGGAATGCAGAGGGGGAAACAAGGGGAAGGAGAGGGGGGAACGAGTGGGAGCAGAGGGGGATACAAGGGGAAGGAGAGGGGGGAACGAGTGGGAGCAGAGGGGGATACAAGGGGAAGGAGAGGGGGTAACGAGGGGGAGCAGAGGGGGAAATAAGGGGAAGTAGAGGGGGGAACGAGGGGGAGCAGATGAGGAAACACGGAAGAGGAGAGGGGGGAACGAGGGGAGGCAGAGGGAGAAACAAGGGGAAGGAGAGGGGGGAAAGAGGGGGATCAGGGGGGGAAACAAGGGGAAGGAGAAGGGGGAACGAGGGGAAGCAGAGGGGGAAATAAGGGGAATGAGAGGGGGGAACGAGGGGGAGCAGGGGGGGAAATAAGGGGAAGGAGAGGGGGGAACGAGGGGAAGCAGAGGGGGAAATAAGGGGAAGGAGAGGGTGGAACGAGGGAAAGCAGATGGGGAAATAAGGGGAAAGTTAGGGGGTAACGAGGGGAAGGGGAGGGGGAAATAAGGGGAAGGAGAGGGGGTAACGAGGGGGAGCAGAGGGGGAAACAAGGGGAAGGGGGGGGGGGGGGGAAACGAGGGGGAGCAGAGGGGGAAACTAGGGGAAGGAGAGGGGGGAACGAGTGGAAGCAGAGGAGGAAACAAGGGGAAGTAGAGAGGGGAACGAGGGGAAGCAGAGATGGATAAATGGGGGAAATGAGAGGGAGAAGAGGGGGGGTGTGTGGAGGAGCAGTGGGGGAAACATCGAGGAAGCAGGGGGGGGGAAATGAGAGGAGGAAGGGCGGAAAATAGGAGGGAGAGAAGGGGGGTATGAGGAGTAGTGGTGGAAAAGAAAGAGGGAAGGTGGGGAAATGAGAGGAGGGAGGGGAAATGGGTCAGTGAAAATGGTTTGACGACTGGCTCCCCGCATTCATGGCAGCGCGGCCATTCAATGGTGGCAATTTGGCCTGCTCGATGAATGGGAGAGTGACTTGCCGACAAAACAGCAACCAGTGGGAGGCGAGCAGCGAGGCGACAGCCTCACGGAGCGCAGCCTCTGAGGCGAATTCGACATTCGCCCAGAGCGCGAGCAGCAGGTGAGGCCAGCAGAGGGTGAGCGTGAAGCTGATGACGTGCAAAGCGAGGCGAGCTAGGTTACACGTTCAGCACAGGCCTGCGCCAAAACTTGAGAGGAATCGCAGTGGTTGAGGCGCTTAGCGGTGAGGCACTAAGCGGTGAGGCGCTAATCGGTGGGGCGCTAAGCGGTGACGCGCGAAGCGGTGGGGCGCTAACGGGTGAGGCGCACAGCGGGGTGTTAGGCGAGACGCTCGCGACTCGCTAAGAAGGTGTCGCGAGCTGCGGGTGCGGCGCTCGAGCTGCGGGTTCTGTGAGAATGTCGCCGACGACGGGAATATGGGAAATGCGGCGCGCCTCTCCGAAGGCTATTCCTACATCTAGCGCGAGGCATTTGAACAAGTCTACGCATGAGAGATTGAGGTGTTTGTAAAAAATCTTACTCGTTAATCTCGCGAGCCAGCCTTGTGACACGTGTCGCCTTACCACCAGCGCTTTTTTTAGTGGTAGCGCTGCTCCTCGCCCCTCCTAGTCAATTTTTATGTAGTCGTATCAAGGCCTTACCTAAAAATTAGTCGCTTATCCTTGAGTCCGTTAGTGTCAGTCTAGGGGTTGGGTGTTGGGAGGATTTCTCATGTTCGCAAATGTCAGCCCTCCAAATTTTCGCCGAGCATCTCGCCAAGCCCGTTCGTTTTCGTTGGGGTTTGCTTTTGGTGGGTACTGTTCATTTAAACCAACAGTCCTTTCAAATGTATACTGCTGCTTTAAGCCGCTTAGGGGCTACCAATCAGAGCCCTCGTCTCAAGGGCAACCAGACCTGATCCAGAAAAAGACCAGGCCAGGCCTGTGAATGAGAATATATGTGTAATGAATATACATTCATTAATGTATAAGCTGCTCCTAGCGAGGACAGCCCGAGCACTTCGCGTCAGGATGGCTCGGCCTACAATTCCGCACCGAACCAATTCCGAGTCGCCCCGCACCAATCGCGAAACTTCCAAACCATCCACGTCCCGAGGTCCTCGCCTAGCACGGTTTCAACCCTATAAATGCGTACTCTTTTATCATTTTTTATCATTCTGTAATTCATTCTCTTTGTAGAAGTCTTCCGCGCACTCTGTCATAACAATATCAAAGGGTGTTACGAGTGCAATTGAGTGATCGAACGAGAATTGCACTATTGAAGCAAGAGTACAATAAGCGAAGGCATGAGCGAAGAATATATAGCGAAACTACAGTGGTAACGGTAATGAACTGTGGTTGACGTGCGACGGGTCTGGAACTGAGGTTGGGAAAATGTCGAAACGGAGGCTCGGAGCGCGGGTTACCCGCCGAGCCGTAAGGTCGGGGTGCGATGTGCGAAGGTGGCAGTAGGATTGTCGATGCGAGGGTTGCGAATAGTAACGGTGCTGACTGTGGTGCTACAGTGGTGTACGCGCTGAGCAGGTACGCGAAGTAATGAAAAGGAATTTTCCTTACACTACCCCCCCCTCCCCCCCCCCCCCCCCCCCCCTTAAGGAGGTCCTCCTTACGAAAGTGCGTGTACATCTCTGAAATTTCGGCCGCGCAGGTACTCTGTGAGGACGGGGTGGTTTTCGACTGTGTCCAGAGGAACCCAGTTGTCTTCAGTGGGTGTACGGTCTTTCCAGCGGATCAGGAACTCGATCCTTCGAGCTCCTTGTGGGTCACGAACTCCGTGGCTCATAATTTTCTCGGGTGTGATGATCGGTTCGGTCGGCGGGCGTGTCATGCTCGCTGGGCGATTACGTGGCAGTTGGCTTGTGGACGGTATGTGTCAGACATATATGATATAGCCGATGTAGGCTGTAGTGGGGTAGACAATAGGGGGTAAAGATATTCTAGGGTTTCATACTTGTACCCCACACATTCCTAGTCAATTCATTCCTCGTTATTCTCACATGGTATAGAGCGGGTTCCCTAGTGGGACCGTTTTATCCTAGGGGCCCACCATCTAATTTTTTTTTTCCTACCCTGCCCGAAGTACGCTTCGCGCTCTGACCTGCCCTACCCTCACGCGGCCCCTTCGCTGCCCCTTAGCGGCCCCTTCGCGGCCCTCTAGCGGCCCCCCCTTCGCGGCCCCATAGCGGCCCCTTCGCGGCCCCTTAGCCGCCCCTTCCCGGCCCCTTCGCGGCCCCTTTGTGGCCCCTTAGCGGCCCCTTCGCATCCCCTTCGCGGCCCCGCCCCGTTGCCCGTAGCGGCCCCGCCCCGTCGCCAGTCGCGGCCCCGCCCCGTCGCCACCCGGGTGTCGCCCCTACCTCGTCGCGACGCCTCAGCGGGACCCGCGCGTCGCCCCTGCCTCGTCGCGACGCCCCTGCCTCGTCGCGACGCCCCTGCGGGACCCGCGAGGCGCGGCTCCTACGCGTCCCGACGCCCGAACGGGACCCAGGCGACGCCCCTGCTCGTCGCGACGCCCCTGCGGGACCCGCGCGGCGTCGCCCCTGCCCGGCGCGGCGCCCTGCCCTAACCCACGCCCGACCTTCAGACGGCCGCCCCTGCCCCAACCCTTGCAGCAGCTGCCCCTGCAGCAACTGCCCCTGGCCCCTGGAGGAGCCGCACCTGCAGCAGCCGCCCCTGGACCCTGGATGAGCCGCACCTGCAGCAGCCGCCCCTGGCCACTGGAGCAGCCGCCCCTGCCGCAGCCGCTTCTGGCCCCTGGGGCAGCCGCCCCTGCAGCAGCCGCCCCTGGCCCCTGAAGCAACCGCCCCTGCAGCAGCCGCCCTTGGCCCCTGGAGCAGCCGCCCCTGGTGCAGCCGCCCCTGCAGCTGCCGCGGAGCCCTTGCCCTATAGTGGTAGCGGCCTCGCCGTTGCCGCCGTCGTACGCCTGCCCTTCTCGCCACTGGTGAGCACTGCCTTGCCCTTACTGCTATTCCTGCTGCTCCTGCTGCTACTGCTCTTTCTACTGCTACTGGTGCTCGTGGCGTGGCCAGATGCAGCTCCAGCGCCGTCCGCGTGAGTCCCTCACGCCCCAACAGCTTTGTGAGTGGTACGCTAGTTGGGGTTGTAGGGGTGGCCGCGCTGCTACTACTGCTACTGCTGCTACTACTGCTACTGTGGCTACTACTGCTACAGCTACTCCTAGCGGAGGCCAGCTGCAGCTCCAGCGACGTTCGCGTGAGTCCCTCCCGCCCCAGCAGCTTCGTGAGTGGTACGCTAGTTGGGGTTGTCGGGGTGGCCGTAGTGGGAGTCGTCCTAGAGTGAGTAGTTCGGGAGCTTCTTGTAGTGGCCATGTGCAGCTGCAGCGTCGTCCGCGCGAGACTCTTTCGCCCCAGCAGCTTTGCGAGTGGTACGCTCAGAGTAGAGGGTCACTGAGTAGTGCTCGCTGCCCGTACGTCATTCGCACGGGTGTCCGGACTGGTCAGCCTTGCGGGACTCCTGGTGACACAGAGTCCCGCTGTTTCGACCGTCTAAGCGCCGCTTGGCGTACAGAGTTTGGCGACGACACTGAGCTCCCCTCTTGGCTGGAGCTGTTTAAGCAGAGGGTAGATATCTTTGCTCTTGACTATGATGCTCTTCTCACTGCAATGTGTGCATTGTCTACTAGTGCTGAGGGTGCCTGTCACCTGTGTGTGCCGCCTGACCCCGGTATCCAGTCTGCTGCTCTAGGTGCTGGTGAGGCTGCTGCTCTAGGTGCTCGTGCATCTCCTGCTCCAGGTGTCGGTGAGGCTGCTGCTCTAGGTGCTAGTGAGTCTCCTGCTCCAAGTGCTGGTGAGTCTACTCTCTCTAGTGCTGCGCCTGTTGCGGTCTTGCACACCTTCACCCTTGACTCTGGTGCTTCCCGCTCCTTCTTTCGAGACCGCACCACCCTCACGCCGCTTAGTTGGCCAGTTGCACTCTCCCTGGCAGACACCTCTGGGGGTCCTGTCCTTGCTCACTACTCCACTGTCCTACCGTGTCCGGCGGCCCCGTCTGGCTCCCTGTCAGGTCTCTACCTCCCCTCGTTCTCTACGAACTTGGTGAGTGGTGCTGACCTACAGGATGGAGGGGTTAACCAGTTCACTCTTGCGAGTCAGCGAGTGACCCACTGCACGTGTGCTCGGACGGGCCGACACTTGGCCACGTTTATCCGTCAGCCGGGGTCGAGCCTGTACACACTGAATACTGAGTCTCCTTCGGTTACTGCGTCTGGTCAGGTTGCTGCGTCGGGTCAGGTGTCTGCTACAGCGTCTCGGTCTAGTCCTGAGTCCGCCCCCTGCTCGTGTCGCCTCGTGTCCCACCAGACTCTCCTCTGGCACCACCGCCTTGGTCACCCCTCCCTGCCTCGTCTCTGAGGCATGCCCTCATGTGTCCTTCTCTCTGGTCTCCCCAGGTCCCTCCCTCCCCTTCCTCCGGGGCCTGCCCCTACCTGGGTTCCCTGCGTCGAGGGACGGCATCGCGCCGCTCCTCACTCCTCCGAGTCTCCTCCAACAGAGGCTCCGCTGCAGACTCTCCACATGGACGTGTGGGGCCCCGCCCGCATCCGTGGACAGGGTTTGGAGCGTTACTTCCTACTGGTGGTTGACGACTACTCGCGTTACACCACAGTCTTCCCCTTGCGTCTCAAGGGTGAGGTCATTGAGGTGTTGATTGATTGGGTCCGCGCTGCTCGTCTCCAGCTCAGAGAGAGTTTCGGCTTGGACTTTCCTATTCTGCGTCTGCACTCCGACAGAGGTGGAGAGACCTCCCCTGCTCTGCGGTGGACGGGGAAGGTTGGCGATGCGTCTGCGTTCCGTGTCTGGGGATCTCGAACTTTTGTCCGCGACTTGTCTGCGGACAAGCTGTCCTCCCGTACTGTTCCCTGAGTCTTCCTTGGCTTCCCCCCTGACGCGCCTATTTTGGTAGTTTTACCACCCCACCTCG